TGATTTGTTATGTAGCAACAGCTAATACAGTACCCAAGCCTCTCCCAGCAGGACGGTGAGAATTAAATGACCGATTAAGTGATTACTATGAAGCCTGGAGAATGCATTTCCCTTCTGGGGACTCAACCAGGAAAAACTGGATTTGATACGCAGCATTTCTCTCACACTACTTTCAGGGGATGGGACTTCATAGGGGGAAAGTGTCCCAAGCTAAACCACAGCTACCAAGTGTGACCCTGACCTTTTCCATCAGTGACACTTTAAGAACTGGAGAATGTGGCTGTTCATCAAATGGGAATGACTGACAACTCATGTTTGGCCCTGGCTTCAATCAAGCCCTACATCAATGATTGTATGTGAAACAGGACAAATGATAATTCACAACTATGCAGCAAGGCACATGAGACTTTCTTCCCTTTGTGGGCTCCAACGTCCCTCTGCAGTCTCCCGCCACACCTGCCCTGCTGCCCCCAGCCATCCTCTCCAGCCTCCAGGCCATGGCACTGGCTGCTTTATTCCCTTTGCATGAAAAGCCCTCTTCCCCACTCCCCTGCCTCGGGAATTCCCACTCAGCCTTCTATACTCAGCTCAAGGGCGACCTTCTCCTGAAGGCCCTCTTTGGCTTCCCAGGCAAGTTCAGGCCCTCCTAGCCCTCTGTACACACTTCTGGCATTCCTCAGGTTGTGATATTGTCTCTCTGGTTGTATCTGTCTCCCTGACTAGGCCAGGAGAAGCTGGTATTCAACTGCAAACTGAGAAGCTTCCTTCATGGAAAGTTAGCCACCACTTATTTCTCTCTGAACTCCCCCTGCCTAGCAGGCAGTTTAGAAACTGCTGGATGTTTAAAAAAAAAAAAAAAAAGAAGTTAGACATGATATTATTTATTCTGTAAGTACGGAAAAAGTGTTATTTAACTCAACTCTGGATGCTGACAAAATATAAAGTGTTGGTACACATCAGTATGTATTTAAAACCCGGGAAAACTGATGTCATGATGCATCCTGACTTAATTGTGGTGGAAACATTTATTTAATTATAATAAAAGAAACAAGACTTCAGCAGAAAATATAACTGGATGAGACCTGTTTGGCTGCACAAAAGGAGACCTACAAAAGTAACTGGCCTCTTTTGTAATCACTGTTTTTTTTTTATAAAGCACAACTTGAAGGAATAATGTGTCTACCTATTCCAGTTTCATTTTCTCTTCCCAGGAGCTCAGGCCCTTACCGTCTCTCACCAGAACTACAACTGTCCCCTAACTTCGATCCCCAGATTTTGGCAGCTGTTTATAGCCTGGATGCCCCTTCACCATGGCTCTGAGTACATCCCTTCCCTGGCTCAACAACCTTCAAGGTCTCCCCTGTGGGGTCTAACTTCAAGCCCCTACCTCTCTCACATTGTCATCTCTCATTCCCCAAACAAGGCCCAGCTGCATGAAAATGCTGCTTTCCAAGAACAGGCCCCACATTGAGATTTTATACACATACACACACGTACATGCACACGTCTATGTTCACACACATGTATACACTTACATATGCACACCCTGACACATAGGCACTCCTGCAGCCTGCAGTCACCCTCTCCCCTGCGCTGGGATTCCACTTCCAACTCTAGATCCAGCTCAAAGCCACCTCCTAGGTGATGATCTCCCCAAATTCTCCAAGATAAAAACACTGGGAAACAAAGGATGAAATTCCTGTCAATCTCCTCCAGGGGCTCAGGCCAGAGATACGGACAAATCTCCTGCATCCTTCATTACCTCCCCTCCTCACACTTATACCAAGACATCTCTGAGCACAAAGTAAATGCTGGGAAAAATGGGCTATGTTAGGGGAGAAACCATTAGAGTAAGGCTAGTTTTTCTTCCAAATAATTACAAACGGAAAAGTGGGTGGGGTGCTGTGGCTCTCACTTGTAATCCCAGCACTTTGGGAGGCCAAGGCAGGAGGATCACTTGAGCCCAGGAGCCTGGGCAACATAGCGACACCTGATCTCTACAAATAAAAAAATTAGCCAGGTGTGACAGTACGTGGCCCCAGTAACTCAGGAGGCTAAGGTGGGAGGATTGTTTGAGCCTGGGAGGTTGAGGCTGCAGTGAGCCATAGCTGCGCCACTGCACTCCAGCCTAGGTGAGAGGGTGAGACCTCTAACAATGGATAAAGACTAAATGAGGAGCCAGAAGTGGGTTTTCCTGGATCCATGAGTGAGGGGCAGAAGGAAGGCTGGATCTACAGTGTTCCTGGCCTCCCAAAAGCTGTCCGGCTGGAAATAATGTGAAAACAACTGCTTCCTGACTGCCTGATGGGGTGGGGGTGGAGGGGTGCTGGCCAAGGATCAGGAGGTAGCCACACACAGATGGCAGAAACAAGGGCATCCAGAGTCTCTGCATTCCAAGGCTGCCCTGACCAGAAGACCCAGAGGGACAGTTAAGAAGAAGCCACTGTTGCATGAGTGGTTTTCAAAGCATGGTCCCAGGACCCTCAGCCACTTCCCCTCAACCTGGGAAATGCTGGAATGCAAATACTCAGGTCCCCCACCAGGCATGCTCAATTAGTTGCTGCAGGATGGACCCCAGCAATCTGTTGTAACCAGCCCTCTAGGCACACTACAGTTTGAGGATCACTGCACGAGAACGTTCTGCTGACCCTCTCTGGCTGCCTCCTCCCTCCTGGGTAGAAAGAACATCTGGACAACTTCTCAAAAGATCAAAGGTCTTACAGTCACAACCTAGTAGGTGACAAGCAGCCCAGAGAGATCTTCTAAAAAATCATATCTGATCACAACACTCTCACAGCTAAATCCCTTCACAGGCCCCCTCGGTGCTTAGCTTACAAGGTCCTCCCTGATCCAGGCCCTGCCCAACTTATCTTAACCTCTCAATTTCAGTCACATGGGACTTCACCTGCAGTTCCCTGAAGCACAGGGCTCTTCTCCAGTCAACCATGGTGACCACCGCCCCCCTCACAGTAATGGCCCTGCCTCCAAGGTGCACTCCTCAATGCCACACCCCCCAACCTCTCCCGTGCCCTTCATCCTTCCTGTAACCCTGTAACACAAGGTCTCATCATAGCACTCATCACCATCACGCCACTATGGCCTCTGTCATAGCATTCACTGCAGAGGGTCTCTGCTCCAGGACCCAGCAGGGGAGGGCACAGAGAAGACCCATAAGAAATATCTGGTGATGAAAAGAAGTCAAGTCTTAAACATCTTGACAACCTGGCTATAAAACAAATCATTTCTCAGTGTTTGAAACAGTCTTAATTGTAATTGGGAAAAAAATGTTTACTGAAGTTTTGAACCACTAGCAGTGAAAGAGAAAGGAGATCTGCCCACCTGGGGCGTGGCTGCAGGGTAACAAGGAGGATGCATAAAGTCCGGTGCAGTTGGCCGTGACCCTATCGTGCCTTCTTTTATATTCAAGACCTCCCCAGTGCCTGCACCAAGCCAAGCCTGGGCCATGCATAAGACTGCACGGAGCCTATCTGGTGTTTCCCTCACTGATCAACCACAAGCCCAGGGTCCTGGTGGCTCCCAGGGAAATCTACCCCCTCTCCCAAGGCAGCTCCTGGGTGGCCACCTGGCTCCCAGCTAGTCATCTAGGTGTGGCATCCTGGGTGCTTAGGAAACCCAGAGTCCAAGCTTCCGAGGCGTGCCCCAAACTGCCTCCAGGGAGAGGTGGGATCCTCCACGGACCGCCCATGCAGATCAAGCAGGGGATGGGGATATTCCGGGGACCTTGGGGAGAGGAGGCCAGGCAGAAAAACTAGAGGGACATTCCCTTCCTCCTCTCTCCTGGCAAACAAATAAGATCCCTTTCCAGGCACCAGCTGGCAGGTAAGAGCCTGCCTCACTGCTGTCTGGACGTCCAGTCCTAAAAGGAACTCAGACTCTTAATCAGTCTCCCCCAGCCCAGGCCTGGGCAAAGGTTTATCTTTGGGGGAAGAAGGTGGGGAGAACAACAGACACGGACCAGGGCACTGAGAAGGAAGGAGCTCTCCCACCGGGCCTCAGATTTAATCAAAACACTGCCTTCCACCAGAAGTAGACAGAACAAGTATTATTTTACGGGGGAAGGGAGGGCTTCACAGGAGTGTGAAGGAGGAGGAGGGGGCCTAGTCTGGCTGTAATTAACTAGTCTGCTTCAAAGGGAGGGAACTAGATGGCCTAATGCATTAGGAAGGGGGTTGTCACAAAGTCCCCCCGTGTTCCTGGGACCGTATGGGGTAGGGTTGAGATCAGGAAGGAAGCAGGTGAGGATAGGAGGGGTGGGGTCTCCTTCCAGCCGGGCCTGATAGGCTGACCCCCTCCCGCGCGCAGTGGCAGGAACTGACGGGTTCGGTGAGGAGCGCTCTTGGAGGCAGCGCATTTCAACCGGAAAAGCACGCGTGGAGGTTCCCGGAGCAGCTCCGGTACCAGGCAGCCCGGATTTGGAAACCTGGAGCTGGGGGTGGGGCGGGGCAGGGCCGGGCAGGGCAGCCGCGAGGGATTTACATATACACGCTGGAGACAGCCGGTCCAGATCTGCCACTAAGAATGCTGTGTAATATTGGGCGAGTCCCTTCCTTGCTCTGGACCTCAGTTCCCCATCTAGAGCGTGAGCGGAGGATGGAAGCTGGAGTAAGGGGAGTCAGGAGTCAAAGCTCCATTTGAAGCCCTTGACAGCTCTGACTCTGACTTTACTCCTTGGCAGCCGGAAGGGCTGGCTGGGTCCGTCTTCCTGGGGCAAGGCTGGGCCGGGCGCTCTCGCTCGGGCTGTGGGCTCAGAGAGGAGACGTTCTGGGAGCAGCGGCGAAAGCGGTGTTGTCAGGAGGCCGCCGGTCCCAGGAAAAGCGAGCGGGAGGGGGCAGAACCGGGAAGCAGCACGCCAGCCGCGACCCAGGGTCCTAGGCCGAAGCTGAAGTAGGGACTCGACACCAGAGCGGTGGGTGCCTTGGTTCCCCCGTGCGCACCGTGGCTCTTTTGGAACGTCGGGAAGAGGCCAAGGGGCACCTTACCTTGTCCTTCTTGCCGGCCCCGCTCTCCTCCGCGGCTGAGGCGGCGCACTTGTTGAGCAGTTTCTTGCCTCCGCAAACCGTCGGGCTCCAGGTGCGGCCGCCCGCGCAGGCGCCCCCCAGGGGGTCCCCGGCCCCGCCGCCCGCCGCGCTCTCCACTTTGATGAGGCGGTGCTTGGGGGAGATGTAGCGCACCTCGGCCGGCGTGGCGGGCCGCCGCTCGCTGCTGCTGCGGTAGAGGTGCGGGGAGCCGGAGGAGGAGGACGACGACGCGGCGGCCCCCGCGCCCGAGGAGGCGCAGCAACAGCCCGCGGCGCCCGACGCGGACGAGGCCGAAAAGGCGCGCTGTACCCCGCCTGGCTCCCCGCCGCCGCCGCAGTAGTCCAGGCGGCACATGGCGCGCAGTTTGCGCAGCGACGAGCCAGGCCCGTTGTAGGGGTCCTCGAAGTCGCGTTCCTTCTGCGCGCGGTAGGCGCGGATGAGGTCGCTGGTGCTGCCGCTGTCGTCGGGCAGGGAGCCCGATGAGGCCGAGAAGCAGGAGGCGGTGGCCGGACCGCAGGACGCCGAGGCGGCGGTGGAGGCCTGCGGCACGGCCTGGGGGGGCTGCGAGGGCCGCTCGCCCCGTCGCCGCTGCTCGCGGTAGTCTGGCCGCGGCGGCTGCGGGGGGCTCTTGGTCTTGCTGTTGCCCAAGCTGAAGTACTTGTTTAGCCACTTGGCCATGGCGAGAGGCCGCCTAGGGCCGCGGCGTGGGAGCCCGGTCCGCCGCCGCGGCCATTCGGGGGGCAGCGCTGCCGCGCAGGTCCCTCGGCGCCCCGGCCCCGGCGGGGGGCGTCCGGGGCGCCCGCTCCCGACGCCAAGTTCAAGTTCTCGCCGCCGCCGCCTCCTGCCGGCAGCTCTCTGGCTCCGGCAGCTGCAGCACCGCCCTCCGCCTAGCGCCGCCCAAGCTAGGGATCTCGCGCCCCTCGTGGGCGCGTCTCATGGGGTCCCGGCCCACGGCCCGGGGGAGAGCGGAAGGTCCGAGCGCTACCGCCGCGGACCCTGTGGCCGTGAGCCCCCCGCCGTGGAGCGCGCTCCTGCCCCGTCGGAGCTGCAGCCTCCGCCTTGGCCGGGATCTGCGGCTGCCGCGGGAACTTCTCGGCGTCCTCGGCTCCCTTCTTCCTTCCTGCGAGCGCTGGGGCGAGCTCGGCCGCGCAGCCGAGGAGAATGCGGCCGGGAGAGACAGCGAGCGACGGAGGGAGGCAGCCGGCGCCCGCCCGAGCCCGCGCGCCCGTGCCCGTCCCAGCGGCGCCTGTCGCTGCCACTGCCGCCGCCGCCTCCCGAGCCGCCGCGTGTGTGACACTCAGGCCGCCAGAGCCCGCCCCGCGCCGCCGTCCCGCCCTCCCGGAGCCCGCGCGCGCTCCGCCCCCCGTCCGCCCCCGCAGACCCAGCACCGCCCACCCCCGCGAGCCTGGCCGGGGGCCGCGGCCCAAGCCCCGCCTCCCTCGCGCCCGGGGCCGGGGTGGGCGCACCTCTCCGCTCCGGCACGCGCCACCTCCCGCGGCCGCCCAGGCGCCAGCACCAGGGTCGTGTCCCAGGGCGCCGGGGTCCCGCCGCGCAGCCGGCTCCGCCTAGCTTGCTGCTCGCCGCCGCCTCGGGCGAGAGGTTGCCTGGCGGAGCCTGCTACGCGCAGAGGCCAAACCTGTCCGCAGTCTCCCGGGACCCCGCGCGTTGTTCACTCCAAGGATCCCCCTTTTGGGGTTGAGGAGTTGGGGTGGATTAACACGGAACCTTTCTAGTTTACAGCGTGGCCCGTGGGGAGGAAATGCAGTGCCGAGTGTCCTTAGGGACAGACTGGCTGTCCCCCTTTTCCTTAAAGGGACAGACTCCGGTTCAGCCCCGTGCACCGGGTCTTCGGAGGAATCTTTATGCTAATGAGTGTATTAGCAGTCCAGATGACGGATGTGGCCGGGATAGGCGGTGGGAGCCGGGCCCAGCACCAATCCGAGAGTAAGTCTAGGGCAGGTCGGAATGTTTGCTTACCTTTTCACCTCTGAGGAAGTCGAGGCTTTAGCCCTGTTCACTGCCAGCCTGGCGGAGCAAGTTGTGGGAACGTTTAATGCCTTATGTTGTAGGAGCTGGCAGGGCTCCATTTAATACAGGAACTCGGCCGGGTGCGGTGGCTCACGCCTATAATCCCAACACTTTGGGAGGCTGAGGCGGGTGGATCACGAGGTCAGAAGTTCAATACCAGCCTGGCCAAGATGGTGAAACCCCGTTGTAAAAATAGAAAAATTAGCCGGGTGTGGTGGCGGGCACCTGTAATCCCAGCTACTCGGGAGGCTGAGGCAGAGGTTGCAGTGAGCCGAGATCGCACCACTTCACTCCGGCCTGGGCAACAGAGCCAGACTCCGTCTCAAAAAAAATAAATGACCTCATTTTACAGATGGAGAAACTGAGGCCCAGGGGAAAGTCACACAGGTGGACTTGGATGCCAGTTCCTAAATCTGGTGGCACCACAATTATGTCTTTTCCAAGAGTCTCTTCTTTGCGATTTCAGATCATCCTTTGATTATTAACCAAAATTGGGGAAATAGGCCCAAGGAATGGCCCAATTTGCTCAGTGTAACTTTTCCTGGGATCTGCACCTAGGAGAGGTGGCATGCTCCCTGTTGAGAGGGAAATGCTGCCTGAAGATGAAGTAGCTGCCACTAGTGCCTGGTGCTGCTTTGAATTTGCCTGGGCAAGCCCCAAAATGTGACTTAACTCTGAGATGTGGGCAGCTGAGAGCTGAGAAATTCTCTAAGAATGTTGATTTACTAAAACAATAGCCCGAATCAAGAATCTGCATTTGCTGTCCATCTATTATAGATGTGATTTGGGGGAGTCTGTTTTTCCCCTATCCTGTAGTAACAGCGGGAACTGTGAGGGCAGACAGCAAGGCCAGGGGCTCTTTTGATCACATTGTAGTTCTGGCCACACTGGAAGTGGAGGTCAAACTCTCAGTCTGAGACAGTTGGACAGGGAAGACCTGAGAGCTGTTACTGCTTCCTCTCTGTAACCCACCCAGACTCATGCCTGAGGCCACAGCGCAGAAGTGATAGAAGCAGGACTCGAACTAGGTCTTATCCTGAAGCTGACCTGTGTCTGCTCAGCCACACACAGTAGTAAAGTGGAATTGACTTCAAATTTGTTCTTCCAGAATCAAGCTATTTGCCCTTTCCCTCCTTGGTCAGACAATACTGTCATCCTCTGTGGCCAACTGAATTTTCCAAACCCACTATGTCTCATAGTCACAGATACTGTCACCAACTACACAGCCTCTTCATTGCCTGAGATCTATTTACTTAGCATTTCACAGGAAATAATCTAAGGGGTGTGTGTGTGTGTGCGTGCGCGCGTTTGATGTGTCTGGGGCATGCAGAGAGGACCCAGAAGTTGACCTGGCTAGGATGTTTATTTTGAATATACCTAGACTTAAATATCTCCGTTACCCTTTAAATTGCTCCTCTGTCACATTGGCACTTAATTATCTTGCATATAAGGAGGCCTCAGTAGAAAACCTGAAAGGCAAGGACATCCTTGTCTTAAGCCCCACCTTTCATCCAACCACAAATCCTCCCCAGCTACCTTCCTTCCCATTTCTACTTCTGAGCTCAGATCCTGGCAATAGGCCAGGCCATCTGAGACAAGAAAGTCCTCTCTGGAATCTGGAAGCTCGCTCCCTTCTTGTGCCTTGCACATGGAAGGGTTATCTCTGCCTTTTCCAAAGGTTCAGGAAAAGACGTTATATTTCATAACTTATTTTTTCCATGTCACTTTCAGCAGGCCATAGGGTCGTATCCACTTTCCCATGTGATACCTCTCCTGGGGTGTAATTTGCAAGCCAGAATTATTGTAATGCTATAGTATTATGCCAAGAACGTCCAGAGCACTTGTGTATCTGCTCAACCCTTAGACACTCTGTATATAATTAACCCTTCTCAACATCCCTGCAATCTGGTGTTATTCCCAGTTTACAGATGGGGTAGCTGGCCTAAGGTGGTATTTACCTCAAGCAGGCAAAAACCACATGGGTGTTTTCCTTTAGGAGCTTGTAGAGACAACTATCCAAGACTCAGAATCCAAAATAATCATTCTGAAGGGAAATAGAAAAAGCTTCCTAAGGACTATGCCAAATGGTTTAGGAAGGCAAACACTTGTGGGAGAAGTATTAGAGCACTATAGGAAGGAAGAGATGGACGGACTCTCTTTTCAGAGATCCAGCCACTCCATTTTACAGAGGGCAAACTGGGACCGGTGAAGGGAAGAGATTAAATCAAGAGGCACAGCTAGGATTGGTCTCCAGTCTCTTGACATCACAAACTCAACATTGTCTGATGCTGTAAACTGTGTCCATCATTTTTGGAATTTTTGCTTTTCATGTCTTCCAGTCCCACCCTAGTTTTCTTATTAGAAGGGTTGAGTATGGCCTTATTTCTGTTTCTGTTCTATCTTAGCCTTTCACTTTAGAACAAGAGCCCCTCAAGCTGCCAGGGGCATGGTGTCTCCTTTGCTGCACCTCTTTCCAGTATCTGGAGGAAGGCTGTGCCACTTGTACAGGTCCAGAAAAAGAGTGCCACCACCAACCCAACAGACTCATCTACTTCTTCTTCTTTTTTTTTTTTTTTTTTTTTTTTTTGAGATGGAATCTGGCTCTATCGCCCAGGCTGGAGTACAGTGGAGTGATCTCAGCTCACTGCAAGCTCCGCCTCCTGGTTTCATGCCATTCTGCCTCAGACTCCCGAGTAGCTGGGACCACAGGCCCCCACCACCACGCCCGGCTAATTTTTTTGTTTTTGTTTTTTTTTTTTTGTTTTTGTTTTTTTAGCAGAGACGGGTTTCACTGTGTTAGCCAGGATGGTCTCGATCTCCTGACCTCGTGATGCACCCGCCTCAGCCTCCCAAAGTGCTGGGATTACAGGCGTGAGGCACCGCACCCAGCCTTTTTTTTGTTTGTTTGTTTCTTTCTTTCTTTCTTTCTTTCTTTTGAGACAGAGTTTCGCTCTTGTTGCTCAGGCTAGAGTGCAATGGGATGATGTCGGCTCAACACAATTTCCACCTCCCGGATTCAAGCGATTCCCCTGCCTTAGCCTCCTGAGTAGCTGGGATTACAGGCATGCGCCACCATGCTGGGCTAATTTTGTATTTTTAGTAGAGATGGGGTTTCTCCATATTGATCAGGCTGGTCATGAACTCCCGACCTCTAGTGATCTGCCCATGTCGGCCTCCCACGTCAGCCTCCCAAAGTGCTGGGGTTACATGTGTGAGCCACCGCACCCGGCCTCATCTACTTTTTTTAGATAACATTATTCAGTTCTGTCCATTGAATGGTTACGTCAGTCCCCTGTCTGTGTACCAGGCCCTGGGGGATGCAGAGATCATCTGAACCACAGTCTGTCACCAATAATTATACAAGGCAAGACGAGAGAAGTGCAAGACAGAACAAGGGACAAAGAGCTGTGGGGCTATGGGGAAGGGAGATTTTAATTATGAGGTGGGGTAGATCATAATGGGTTCTTATGGGTGATATCTGGTCTGGGCCTTGAAGACTGAGTAGCATTATGATATAGTAGAAGTAGACAAGAGAATTCTACACGGAGAGAGAGGTGTAGAAGCCACACATCATGAAAGGCATAGAAGCAAGAACATGTGGTAAACCACTTGGGCCATAATGAGTTTCCAAGTGGAGTGGGAGTAGCTGAGAATCTGTGAATGCACGGAATGGTGGGTAAGGGTAGAAAGGTAGGCTGTACCCCATCAGGAAGGGTTTTCAATATCAAACTCAGGAGAATTTTTTATCTTGTAGGCAATAGGGAGCCACTGAAGGTCTTTGAGCAAGGAAATTAATTACCTTATGTTTTCTGCATTTTATAAAGATTATTTGGGAAGCAGTGTGGAAGATGTATTTCTTGGGGAGGGACAGAAAGTAGGCAGAGCAGTTAAAGGAACGTTAAGGAACCAGAAAATGGTGCATAGAACAGTAGCTAGTGCACAGAAGGCACTCAGTACTTTTGTTGAATGAATAAATAATGTTGAAGTAGTGAAAGGGTGTTAAGTCATTTTAGAGGACAGACTCTGCCTGACTCTCAAGTCTTTGCCTTTGGGCCACTTAGTGAGTGGTGACCAACCACTTCCCAGTGAAAGGTGATGCTGCAGGAAGGAGAAGGTGGCTGACTTGGCATTAGCTACCTGTATAAACAGCTGTGAGGGTCAGGGCACAAGTCTGAGCTGGAGGTATAGATTTGGGAGTTACTAGAGCTCAGTAAAGATCTGAAGCCAAAACCTCTGTCATCCATGACCCCTTAGTTCATTCCTACTTTATCCAGCCCGTCGGCAAAGTATATGCAGAATCCGGCCACTACTCACCACCCCCACCTCTACCACCCTGGACCAAGACTCCTTCATCTCTTGCCTGGATTATTGTGGGAGTGTCTTATCCATCTTCCCTGCCTCCATCTCACCCCAGCAGTCAGTGATCCTATTAAAAATGGGTGTGATTATATCTTTCCTCTCTTCACATCCCCCCTGGAATCCTCATTTTCCTAATAGGAAATGCCAAAATTCTTACAGTGGCCTATAAGGCCTTGTATGATTGGTCCTCTTAAACTCCTAACCTCCTGTTATACTGTCCTTTCTCTCCTGCTGCAGTCAGGCTGCCTCTTTGCTGTTCCTTGAAGCCTCTAGGCACACTCGTGCCTCGAGGCCTTTGCACTGCTGTCTCCTCTGCCAAGAGTGTTTTTCCCCAGCTATCCCCATGGCTCACCCTTCACTTCCTTCAGGTCTTTATTTAAATGTCACATGCTCAGTGAGGCCTCCCCTGGGCACAGTGTCTAGAACTGCAGTCCCCGCTCAACACTTGCCATCCCTCTTCCTCGTTTTATTTTCCTGAGAACTCTCTTCCTCATTTCACCTACTGTATATTTTGCGTATATTTCTTGTTTATTCTTTGTCTTGCCCCACAGCGGGAAAGAGATCTTTGCCCTTTTGTTCACTGCGTATCTCCAGTGTCCAGAACAGTGCCTCTGGTCATACTCTGTAGGCACATGATAAGTATTTGTTGAATGAATGAGTGGATGGAAGTGATTGATATCATGGAGAGTGGAAGAACAGAAGGTAACAGCTGGACATCTCTGTCCACTTCAGCTTGCTAGCCTTGGCCTGGAGGTAGGAGCATGTCAGACTTACTATGTTTGAAAATATATATATGTAAGATGTACATGATGTTTTGATATACATACACATAGTGAAATAGTTTCTACAGTCAAATTAAGCAAGTTAACATATCATCTCACATAGTGACCTTTCTGTGTGTGTGGTAAGAGCACCTAAAATCTGCTCTCTTGGCAAATATCCAGTATCCAATGCAATATTGTTAACTTGTGTCCTCATGCTGTACATTACAGTCCTAGACTTATTTATTCTATGTATCTGTACCCTTTGACCTACATCTCCCCATTCTCCCCAATCTTGTCCTCTCCCCTCCTCTGGTAACCACCATCCCCCTCTCTGTTTCTATGTATTCAACTTTCTCTAAAAACAGATTCCACATACAGGTGAGACCATAGAGTATTTGTCTTTCTGTATCTGACTTATTTCATTTAGTAGAACATCTTCCAGATTAATCCATGTCATCACAAATGTCAGTATCTCCGTTTCTAAAGCTGGGTGATGTCCCATTGTGTGTACATAATTTTTTTATTTTTAATTTTTATTTATTTATTTGTTTTTGAGACAGGGTCTCACTGTGTCACCCAGGCTGGGGTACAGTGGCATGATCTTGGCTCACTGCAGCCACAACCTCCCAGCCTCAAGTGATCTTCTTACCTCAGCTTCCTGTGTAGCTGGGACTATAGTTGTGTGCCACCATGCCAGGCTAATTTTTAAGTTTTTTGTAGAGACAGGATCTTACCATGGTGTCGAGGCTAGTTTCGAGCTCCTGGGGTCAAGTGATCTGCCCACCTTGGCCTCCCAAAGTGCTGGGATTACAGGCATGAGCCACTGCACTCAGCATATTTTTAATTTTTATGGGTACATAGTAAGTATATGTATTTGTGGGGTATGTGAGATTTTCATACAGGCATGCAATGTATAATAATCACATCAGAGTAAATGGAGTATCCACCACAATTTTTTAACCCTTTCATCCATTGAGTGAATGTTAGGTTAATTCTGTATCTTGGCTATTGTGAATGCTGCTGCAATGGAAGTTCACCATCTCTTGAGGTGCTGACTTCATTTTCTTTGGGTATATACCCAGAAGAGAGTTTACTGGGTCATATGGCAGTTCTAGTTTTAATTTTTTTGGGAACCTCATACTGTTTTCCATAATGTCCGCACTAAATTTACATTCCCATCAACAGTGTGCAGAGGTTCCCTTTCCCTTTTCCACACCCTCACCCACACTTGTTATCTCTGTCTCTTTGATAATAGCCCTCCTAAGAAATGGGAGGTGGTATCTCATTGTGGTTTTAATTTGCATTTCCCTGTTGATTAGTGATGTTGAGCACCTTTCCTATATATGTTGGCCATTTTTTATGTCTTTGTTGGAGAAATGTCCATTTAGGTCCTTTGCCCATTTTAATTTAATTTAATTTATTATTATTTTTGTGTGTGTGTGTGTGGGAGATGGAGTCATGTCTGTCACCCAGGCTGGAGTGCAGTGGTGTGATCTCAGCTCACTGCAACCTCTGCCTCCCAGGTTCAAGCAATTATCCTGCCTCAGCCTTCCAAGTAGCTGGGATTACAGGCACCTGCTACCACACCTGGCTAGTTTTTGTATTTTTAGTAGAGATGAGGTTTCACCATGTTGACCAGGCTGATTTTGAATGACTGACCTCAGGTGATCCACCTGCTTCGGCCTACCAAACTGCTGAGATTACAGGCATGAGCCACTGTGCCCAGCCCTTTGCCCATTTTTAAACTGGGTTATTTAATAATTAAAAGAAAAGCCGGGCGTGGTGGCTCACGCCTGGGATCCCAGCACTTTGGGAGGCCGAGGCAGGTGGATCACAAGGTCAGGAGTTCAAGACCAACCTGGCCAAGATGGTGAAACCTCATCTCTACTAAAAATACAAAAAAGTAGCCAGGCATGGTGGGCGCCTGTAATCCCAGCTACTTGGGAGGCTGAGGCAGAGAATTGCTTGAACCCGGGAGGTGGAGGTTTCAGTGAGCTGAGATCATGCCACTGCACTCCAGCGAGACTCCATCTCAAAAAACAAACAAGCAAACAAACCCTTTTGCTATTGAGTTGTGTGAGTTTCTTGCATCTTTTAAATATTAATCCCTTATCAGATATGTGGTTTGCAAATGTTTTTTCCCAATCTGTAGGCTGCCAGTTCATTTTGTTGATTGTTTCCTTTATTATGCAGAAGCTTTTTAATTTGATGTAGTTCCGCTTGTTTATTTTTGCTTTCATTGCCTATGCTTTTGGTGTGATACCCCAAAAAAATCATTGCCAAGGCCAGTGTCAAGGAGCTTTTCTTTTGTGTTTTCTTCTAGGAGTTTTACAGCTTTGGGTCTTTCATTCAGGTCTTTGATTCATATTGAGTCGATTTTTGTGTCTGGGGTAAGGTCAGGGTCCAATTTTATTATTTTCCATGCGAAAATCCAATTTTCCCAACATCATTTATTGAAAAGACTGTCTTTTCCCCATTGTGTGTTCTTGGTGCCCATGTCGAAAATTAGTTGACCATATACACTCAGGTTTATTTCTGGGCTCTATTCTTTCCATTGGTCTATGTGTCTGTTTTTATGCCAGAGCCATACTGTTTTGACTTGCTGCACTTTTGAAGCACATGCATTCTGGGGTTCTGTTCTCAGATCTCTTAAATGGAGGAAGCAGAACATGACTCATCCCTGCCTTCCTGGCATCCGGAGGGGGCTCCAGGAAGGTTGTGGCATCCAGTTAGCGCCTTCCACATGAGTCCCAGTCCTGCTGACATGCAAGCCTGTCCCCAGTGTCGCTGAGCCAGCTGTTGTTCTCTCCACATCAGGTACAACTAATCTTAGGAATCTCATTATGGATCGAGAAATAATCCTCTATATCTAGATTAAAGTCTGTGTTTTGACCATTACTGTGTACTGAGCATTGAGCCGACAGTTTAATTGAGCTGTTTATGCCGCTGCCTTGATCTCTTCCCAGAGAATTTACAGCTAATTCCAAGTGTCTCTGTGAATTAAGTGGGCCTCTCCCAACATGCTTTGCCCGGTGTTTGCCTGTTTCAAATCCCACTTGTTCTTGTGTTACCCAATTATGGGCTCTCACTCACAGCTGTCTCTGGCCCTGCCACTTACAGTCCACTTCCTCTCTGAGGTGGCCATTAATGATGTGGCCCCAGAATGGCCATAACCCAGGACAGCCTCTGTGATACTTACAGCAATAGGAAAGGGGGTGGAGGTAAGGATGGGGTGGAGCAGAGAGGTCATAAATTATGACCTCAGTGACCCTTTGAAATCACCTCCAGGCAACTGACAGTCACCTTCTAGCAAGAAGAGGGTATATGCCTTTAGCAAAGTTAAGTGTAATAGAAGCAAAGAGTTCCAGTCTGGGGTGAAGACTCCTGCATTCTTATCTGACATCCTCTGTGACCTCTGGGGCTAGTTTCCCTGTTTGTAAAATATAAGCTGGCAGATCATTGTTTTCCATTCAGGATAGTAGAGGTGTTTTAGGATAGGGCTGCCATATTTAGGGGGAAAAAAAAAAATGGTGGCTCATGCCTAGCACTTTGGAAAGTCAGGGCAAAGAGGATTGCTTGAGCCCAGCAACTGGAGACCACCCTAGGCAACATAGTAAGACCTGGTCTCTACAAAAAATAAACAAAATTATGCTGGGCGCTCACGCCTGTAATCCCAGCACTTTGGGAAACTGAAGCAGGCAGATTGCTTGAGGTCAGGAGTTCAAGACCAGCCTGTCCAACATGGTGAAATCCCATTTTTACTAAAAACACAAAAATTAGCCAGGCACGGGTATCTGTAACCCCAGCTACTAGGGAGGCTGAGGCAGGAGAATCACTTGAACCCAGAGGTGGAGGTTGCAGTGAGCTGAGATTGCACCACTGCACTCCATCCTGGGTGACGACAGAGCAAGACTCCTTCTAAAAAAAAATTAGCTGGACATGGTTGTGCAAGCCTGTAGTCCCAGCCATTCAAGAGGCTGAGATGGGAGGATCACTTGAGCCTGGGAGGTTGAGGCTGCAGTGAGACATGATTGTGCCACTGCCCTCCAGCTTGGGTGACAGAGGGAGACCCTGTCTCAAAAACAACAACAACAAAGGACATCCATGAGATAGTTGGGACATACTTATAGCTAATTATTATTTATTTACCAGAAATCCAAGTATAACTGAATACTCTGTATTTTCTCTGGTGACTTTAATCAAGGGGCTGTGTACGCAGGGCCCTGATCTACAGGTGGGTGCTAAGAGAGCAAATGAGTTGAATTGCTTTGCAGTGATGCATCTTAATGGTCAAACTGCCTGCCATCTGGCAAGTGCAGCATAAATTATGGAGCCTGCAAATCCACTGAGTGCAGTGGCTTTTTCAGTCCCAAACGTCAGACTGATAGCCGTCTCAAAGGCCACCACTGGAACCTGGGGCTTAGGGGCAATAAGTCAAGTTAGGCCAGTGAGAGTCAGAAGTACACAGGGGCATGTAGGGGCAGAAAGGTCTGGGTCAGATAGCCTGAAGGTCTGGCAGAAGGATCTGTGAAGCTTGTAGGCAAGGAGGAAGTGAACGTGGGGAGAAAAGAAATCAGGCCTGGTCGGAGGACATCACAGGTCAGTCAGGTGCCAAGGAGTCCCCGGGTTCTAAGGGCGCCGGCAGAGAGAGAATATATGGGGATATCTGCAGGGCTAGGTGGGTGGTCAGACCTTGCTTCTGCTAGGAGCTTCTGCCTCAGGTCAGGCCAGAACTGGGACAGACTGGAGGAGGCTGCTGTCAGAGTGAAGCAGGAAGGCTGTGCTTGCTTTGATTTGCTTCAGAAGCAAGTGGTGATCAAGAACACAGCAGTGTTTTTCTGCAACTGAAGAGGACTTAAATACTATGTGCCAACCAGCACCTTTAGGTTTTCTTCTATGGGGGATTAGCTTTGGGATTACCAGGTGCCCAGAGTGTGTGATCCTCCTCTTCTTGAGAGAGGTCTGGAGGGCAGGCAGCAGGGGCTGTGCATTATTCACTTCTGCCCACCCGGGATTCTCTGAGTGCCTGCCAAGTGCTAGCCCCAGTGACTGTGTGTGGGATTGAATCTAGTAGAAATCCACCAAGTCACAGTTCTTAAATCTGAGTTATTACCTCTGGCCTTAAACCACACCACCACATGCAAAAGGGCACCTTTATCTTTGCAGAATCATTGCAGACTCTCCTTCTGCCGGCTGCATCCATCTCTGCCTCCCTCCCACATCCTCCTGCAGAGCATCCTCTCTGTGCACAGCAGTCCAGATGTTAGACCCACCCAGCTCCCGTGCCTGGGCTTCGCACACTGACTGTAACAATGGAAACAAAAGACATACTGGGCGCTGTGGCTCACGCCTATAATCCTAGCACTTTGGGAGGCCGAGGTGGGTGGATTGCTTGAGTCCAGGAGTTCAAGACCGCCAGCCTGGGCCACGTGACAAACCTCATCTCTACAAAAAATACAAAATAAAATATTAGCCAAGCATGGTGGCATGTGCCTGTTGTCCCAGCTACTTGGGAGGCTGAGGTGAGAGGATTGATCGAGGCTGCTGTGAGCCATGATTGTGCCACTGCACTCCAGCCTGGCCTGGGTGACAGAGTGAGACCCTGTCTCAAAAAAAAAAAAAAAAGAAAAGAAAAGAAAAAAGAAAAAGGAAAAAAAGAACATAAAGGCATTACACATTGAAACCACTAAGATTAAAGTTACCTGGTTTACTTGTGAGTGACTTCATGTGCTAGGGTGCCAGGAAAACACCCTAAATCTGAAACATTTAATCCAATTTTCCTCATTTTCAAACTAAACTTTGGTGTTCCTGAAAAGATGAAATATTACTTGAAGCCCTGCAGTTGGGAAAGTGGTGGATTTCTTCAGTGTTAAGCCACACCAAAAAAATGTTCTGATGCAATTTCCAGCCTCTCACTTTGGCTGTAATATTTAAAGGCAATTTTTAAAAGTCACTTTCCATGCATAATTTTCTCCCACTACACTTTGTTATTTTTTTTTTCTCGAATTGAAATGGTTACCATGCTGCCATCTGAGGCTTTGCTAAGTGGGATGCATTGGTCTTTGCCAGAGCCAAGAAAGAGTTAAAGTTGCAAATGGCCGTCTGTCGTCTTTCTCAGTCTGGGGATGGGGGTGGATACCGCCCAATTGTCTGTCCTTTTCTTACCCTCCCTAGGGCTGAGTGCGGGATATCAAGTCTCCTAAAATAACTCAGACCCTGTGGGGAGATGCCTGCCCTGAGCAGGAGCTAGCTTGGCATGGAGGATTCTCAGGGTTGGAAGGGAATGTTCCTGGCCAAATGGTCTGATCTCCTGGGCTGGAAGAGAGAGGAAGGAGCTCAGTAACCTTCCAAACCAAACACCCACTAACAAGCTCTTGCAGGGCCCTCAGGGAAGCCAGATGACTGCTGTCATCTTCCTTCACCTAAGCGGCATCCGACAGAGCATCCGTTCCCATAGAGAGTCCTCTGAGGCTGCTGAGCACAGTGCAGAGAGGCACTGGTACATCTGGAGCAGAATCTAAGTGAGCATCTCATCATTAGGATTTCTGGGTCTCTTAGGGTTTACAACATACTGTAGAATCACTACATATTGTAAATGTCCGAAGGAGAGAACTGTTGGTTTTTGCAGTTTTCCAGAGTCATGGTGGGTGGAGGGGCTCCTTCTGCCCAGGCCTTCGAGCCCACTCTGATCCTTTCAGTCTTAAGATGCAGACAATGATTGTTTGGGGGCTCTAGACTATGGGCCTCCTCACTCCAAGGCTGGGCAGTGTCTCATTTGCACGCTTTGAGTCAGGAGCTGGCACAGGCCAGAGAGAAGCACTGCTTTCTTCCTAAGCCTCCTGCTTTTATCTTTTTTTTTTTTTTTTTTTTTTTTTGGGGATGGAGTTTCACTCTTGTTGCCCAGGCTGGAGTGCAATGGCGCGATCTCGGCTCACTGCAACCTCTACCTCCCGGGTTCAAGCGATTCTCCTGCCCCAGCCTCCCAAGTAGCTGGGATTACAGGTGCCCACCACCACGCCCAACTAATTTTTGTGTTTTTAGTAGAGATGGGATTTCACCATGTTGGCCAGGCTTGTCTTAAACTCCTGACCTTAGGCCTCCCGCCTTGGCCTCCCAAAGTGCTGGAATTACAGGCGTGAGCCACCGCACCTGGCTCAGTTTTATCTTTATGTACAAGTTGTTTTTTTTGTTTTTTTTGTTTGTTTGTTTGTTTGTTTGTTTGTTTTTGAGACGGAGTCTCGCTCTGTCGCCCAGGCTGGAGTGCAGTGGCCGGATCTCAGCTCACTGCAAGCTCCGCCTCCCGGGTTCACGCCATTCTCCTGCCTCAGCCTCCCGAGTAGCTGGGACTACAGGCGCCCGCCACCGCACCCGGCTAGTTTTTTGTATTTTTTAGTAGAGACGGGGTTTCACCATGTTAGCCAGGATGGTCTCGATCTCCAAGTTGATTTGTATTTTTGTTTGCTCCTATTGGCAGACATTTTGTGGTGGTTATAGCCTCTGCATGTTATTATTAGGCACTCCACAGGAATTCACTCCTCCAGTGGACCAGTTTTGCAATAAGGTAGCACATCTTCCACAGCTACAGTGCAGGTCAGGGCACTCAGACTCAACTGTGCCTCGGAACCACATAGACATCAGTGTTAGCATGGACACTCCCACAGCCACTCCAGAGAAGCCGACTCAACAGAGCTGAGTGGGGCTCAGGAATCTGTATTTTTATATGAGCCATGGCCGATTCTGTTGCCAATGAGCCAAGGACCCCACTTTGAGAAACTCTGGTTAGTGTCTGAGTTCTCATCTGTGATATGAACCAGCAAGTTGTGGGTGACAAAATCTGGGATGGAGGCATTTCTGACTTTTGGCTGGTCTATGTCCCCAGCCAAAAGTCTGACATTCGGAGGATCGGCCAGCCTGCATCACAGGTAGGCAGGCAGGCTGCAGTCAGTGTCCCTGCAGGGGCATCATGTCTCCATTGTGTGCCCTACAGGGT